TGTGCCCTTGCTCCGGGGGTGGCCTCTGCAGCTGCCAGGGTTATGTGAGTCCTGTAGGAGCCCGCAGCCTCATCGGCACCTCCTGTAAATCCGCCTGAGTATTGAAATCGCCCTGCTCCTTACCGGGGGGGGGTAACTGCAGAGGGGACACGCTGACGGGCGCTCCAGTGCTCTGCACCCAGCTGGCAACTCATCCCTTCCTCCTTCTGCCACAGGTATGGGCCGTTCTCCGCTGGAGTCCCACCTGAGTCCTGTAGGAGCCCGCAGCCTCATCGGCACCTCCTGTAAATCCGCCTGAGTATTGAAATCGCCCTGCTCCTTACCGGGGGGGGGTAACTGCAGAGGGGACACGCTGACGGGCGCTCCAGTGCTCTGCACCCAGCTGGCAACTCATCCCTTCCTCCTTCTGCCACAGGTATGGGCCGTTCTCCGCTGGAGTCCCACCTGGCCCCGCATCCGAGGACCAAGCGATGTTCCTGCAACAGCTGGCTGGATAAAGAATGCATTTACTTCTGTCACCTGGATATCATCTGGGTCAACACACCTGGGTGAGTATGAAGACAGCTTTCTGGGGGGGGATATTTGCTCTGCTGATGAGTAAGTGACTGTACTTTCTGATTGAGGATGGAGTTAGGTTAGAGGAAGGTGAGAAAGGTCCCAGTCCTGTGCGGCTCTTGTAGCACCTGCTCTGGAGAGCACTGCAAGTCCAGTCCTTTCTAACATCCAGAAAGGGACACGCTGTGCTTCTCCTCAGGAGTTTCAGTATAACCCGCAGGGAAGTGGGTTGAAAGCACAAGGTGCTGCTTCCTCACGGGTTCATCTTTTTCTGGGATTTGTACCTCTGCAAGCCGAAAGCAACACCAAGATGTTACAGCTGCGAGGCAGAAAGTTACTCTGCCCGCTTGCAAACTGCAACCCTGGCTGCTAGCTGCCAGTGCTGGTAATGAGACAGCGGTGGGCTGGCACTGGAGTCCTGTGGCTGCCAAGTCCTGCCCTCAGGAATGCTAAAACAGCTTTCCGAGCAGTTGCAGACCAATGGCCATCACACCGTGGCAAAACACATGTACTCAGGTGTGGTTATAATCACGCTCGCTAACGTGCAATTGCAACTCGCTGCTTGCTCGGAGAAGAGTTGCAGTCACTGCCAATCCTAAACCCTCTGGGAGAGTAGATTGCGATCAAAGATGGAGCGGGAATGTGCTAACAGCTCCGAAAGCACGCTGTGATCAGAAGAACCTGTTATGGCTCCAAAACATCTCTATTTGTGCTATGTCCTGCGTGTTAAAAATCCACAGCGGGGGCAGGTGGGTGGGAGGGAAGGCTCTGACACCTCCCTGCTCCAGGAGCTGGTTCCTTGCCGCTGGTCTGGGGCAGCCGCGCTCCTCGTGCGCTGGGCCACCCAGGTGAGCTGCCAGCTCGCACGGGCCTCGCCGACCCTTGCACGGGCACCTGGGCTGCTGCAAGGACAGAATATTCCACTCGCAACCTGGCATGGCAATCACGCTGGGAGGGGTAGGGTGGGGAAAAACAGTAGGTGGGAGAGGAGCTGGGGTTTAAAGGCTTGGAGATAGCAGTGACCTTTTCACCTTGTCTATAGATGAGTCTTTTATTATCCTGGCACTGGCTTGGCTGCCTTCCAGGACCGCGTTATAAACCTGTTGGCTAATAAAAAGTTAGTGGCGTAGCTGATTCCTTTTGTTTTTCGCAGGCACACCGCTCCCTACGGCCTGGGCAGCCCGCCAAGGCGGCGCAAGAGATCGCTCAGCAGGTGCGAGTGCTCGCGCTCGAGGGACCACGTCTGTGCCACCTTCTGCCAGGCAAAGCCTGGGTAAGTCAGAGGGGTCCTGGGGATGTCCCTGGGGGGGTTCGGCGAGGGTGCAAGCAGGCAGAGGAAGCTCAGGGGCTGGAGTAACTCCGCAGCCTCCCTGGGGAAGGCTGCGCGGCTCCTTGCCAACAGCTGGAACTTGTCTCGTGGCTTTCGTACCCCTCCCAAGAAGCAAAGTGTCACCAGGGTGTTTTTGTTGTACAATAGTCTCTTTGCTAGCTGATACGAAGCAATGTTGCCTCCATCCCTCCTGCTGCCAGGAGGCTGAGGAAGCGCTGGGTGCACTGGTGGGAAGGGAGGAGCTGGCAGCGCGCTGGGAGAGGGGCACGCAGAGGGTGTGAAGCTCTGGGACAGCAGTGTGTCCTGCATGGCTCAGCTGGGAGAGGCTGCGGGAGAGTAGGACTGCTGAGAGCTGGGACTCGGAAGTCAGACACCTTTGGTAGCCAGGTCTTGGAGCGCATGTGGGCTCTCAGTCGTCTCCCTTCGGCCGGATTCATGGAGGAGTGCTTACATTGCGGAGAGCAAAGTCATTGTAGAGATCTGTCATTAACTTAACACCAAGGCAATAGTTAAACTCCCCAATGATTAAATACGACTGTGAATAGAGCGAAGACAGAAGAGGATTGAAGTAAAAGTGAGCTATAAATTGCTCTCAATAGCTGCAATTAACCCTTCAAAACATGCATTCAACTGTCTAGGTCTGTCGCTGGTGACGTTAGAGCATCACTCCCCCTGGTACTTACCATAGCGTGGCTGGATGTGAGTGGTTCATGCTTCTCCACTTGCTTCTTAGGTACCTTCAGAGTCTGAAGCTCCCAGAGAGCTCTGGAGCATCAATGAAGTCTCCGCAGAGCAATGGCATGAGGCCTTCCCATCACGGCCTACTGAGAGCTCTCAGGTGAGACGTTTAAACATCATAACCACTTTAAAATCTGGGGTTGTAACCCCAGACTGCAGTCACTGCTTGGATTTGACCTGACTTCCCCCTCTGATCTGCCTTTAAATGAGTAATCTTGACTTTTTCTGCTCTCTGTCGAATTGAAGGCTAACAGTTTCTTGCCTCCTCCAAAACTAGAGGAATATTACATAAAATGTAATTCTTGTTTGGAGTGGGAGATTCCTCTGATACGGGACAGGCAAATGGGTTATGTATAAGAAGGGGGGATGGATGGCATCACATAGGAAAATGATTGAGCAGCAGCTTTGGACCAAAGAAAATAGCTTTTCTCATATCACTGAATTGTGGAACTCATTGCTGAAAGAAATCATGGACTCCAGGAGTGTGAAAGAGTTAAAGGGAATTGGCAAGTTGAAGGCAGATTGGTCCATCAGTGGCAGTTAAATCAGTTGCAATGGGAACAATTTCCGAAAGGTAGATCTGGGAAAGCATCACCTGGGTCATGCCTGCTGCAGGACTCCTTGAATCCTCTGCCACTGGCCACTGATGGAAAGGAGATATTGGGATAGATGGATCTCTGCTGTGGCTTAAATACAGCTGCAGCTAGAATCTTCCCCCCTTCCTTCCCCCATTTTCTGCTTCAAAATAAATCTCAATGAGAGGTAGCTAAATATCATAATGTGGGCTGTTGCTGAGTAGTAGGACAATGGATTGGAGAATGACCATCATATCTCTTCTCCTTACAGGGATCTGGCTGTCTCCAGTCTGTGGTTCGGCAAGCACCAGCACCGTTCTCGGAGGAACGCACAGCCGACAGTTTTGCCTTGGAAGAAGAACATCTGGAAAAAGAAGAGATAAGAAACAGGTGCATACCAAGTTCACCAGAAGAATTTGGGGTCCTGCGGGTGCCGCTAACTCCGCTGTCGGTAGTTAGAGCTGAAGAAAAGGCCGTGAGAGGAAGGGGGAAGAAGTGGAAATCTCCGTGCTCCTGTTGCGTGAACCAGTACTGCATGCACTCCTGAGACTGTTGTAAAGGGAAAACTGTCTCTCTATACAGTCATAGATGTGTTGTGGAGCTGAATTGTGCCTTTTTGGATCAGGCAAGGGTCCTGCTGGTAGAGTACTCGCTCAACTCTGCACCGGAGTCCTCGGCAGGGGGTCAGCCTGCGCTGGGCGGTCGAATCACTTACAAGCCGGATGGCTCCGTGCTGTTCCGGACCTGGCAGCACTGAGCCCGTACCACTGGCCTGGTCTGCTCTGCCTCCGAGCCACGTTTGAGCATGGTTCCAGCTTGGCCCCGTTCAGAGGTGGTTTGGCTGGCCATGGTAGATGGGGATAAACTGCCTCCAGCGGGAGCCCACCTTTTGCACGTTTTTCCTCTTACTTGTCAGGCAGTGCGATGTGCGTTTGAGTGAGACTCCCGTGGTAAAAACAGCTCCCAGTTTTTATTAAAAAAAAAAAGTAAATATATCATCTAGAAGCCTGAAAGCCAACTGAGTAGTCAGTGGCATTCTTTGCCTGAAAAAGTCACTGAAGGGCTGTCCTTAAGTGGATCTTATTCAGGTGGAGGATAGCTTGCTTACACTGGAGCTTGCATCAAATCCAAGCACGACCCCTGGCATCAGGCACAGCAGCCGCAGGGGTGAGGAGGCTGAAGCGGAGCTGTAATTCGGCAGGAGCCCCGTGCATGCGGCCCCGCGTAGCCTGGGGGAGGGAGCCCCGCTGGGTCCGAGGCTCGAGGTCCGAGCTGCTTAGTCCGGATGAGTTCAGTGCTGTGAAGCTGTCTCATCTTCTTGGACATAGCCTTAGCGGGGTAGAGTACTTCCAGCTCTTAACCTAATATCCCAGCTTGCTTTCAGCTCTACCTGAAAGGGAAGGCCAGGGGCAGAGGAGATGGGTGGTGGGAAAATAGCACGCAAAGGCTTGCTTGCTGCTTCGCTTAGATCAGGTCTCTGAGTTGGACTCTATGTTCAATAAATGACCAGTATACGGATAGCATGTCACTATGAGAAGTGTAACGTGAATACAGAGTGCGTTAGGCAAGGGGCAGCCAGGTGGGATTGATGTGGAGGAAAAGATGGCTGAGAAGAGAGCACAGCACTGTCTGCACAGCTTTAGAAGAAAGGCTTGGATTTAAACCTGTGCCAGAATCATGGCTGCTTCCCCAGGCCTGGACCAGCACAGTGCTGCTGGCCCAGAGGAGGGAAGGAATAATTTGGAAAAAACACTGAGCCCAGGACCTAGAAACCAATCTCAGAGGCAAACACAATCTCAGGGCTCTGGAGCTGTATCACAAATGCACTTTTGTTTGCCTGGGGAGATTAACTTCTATTGTAAATTGTGGCTGCAGCTGTCATCTGGTTCGTGCAGATAAATAATTGTTCTCCTGGAACCACTATTGGGTCCCTCTTGCTGCCCAATCCAGTATTACACATGAGCGTTTGAAAAGGCTGCTTGAAGTTGGTGGTGGACCAAAATCTGTAGCTGTTGCAAGTGTAGTCCCATTGGACATATAAAATACTTCTTTGATTTTGCTTTATGCCCTAGAGAGGGGAAAAATGAGGCCAATTGATTGTATGGTCAATGAAACAGCAGACTAATCATTTGGTCCCCAAAGCTGCAGAGAAACTTTTTTATATTTGACCTTCTGAAGGTTTGAGTCATTCTAAAAAAAAAAATCCTGAAAGGGTTTGTTCCAGAGGAAACTTTGCACATGGTTTAATGTGAGCCTAGTAATTTAAAATAAAACTACTGCTGTAAAGTACTATGTATATCTCCTTGTGTATAATGTCTCTTCAAGTGACTTATTGCACACAGGCCGTATGTAGCATCCTAAAATCTGTATATTTATTTAAATCTATTGATTTTTTTTTTTAGACAGTAATTTGCAAAATTTAATTTGTAATAAATAATGACAAAAGTCAATACTATTTGTCTTCCTTATTTGATGGCTGGGGGGTGGTGGATGAAGCAAAAGAAACCCAGATGGCCAAAAGCACTGTGAAAGTGAGTGGGACAGAACAGCTGGGTGAGAACGGGGAGGATGTGTAATCTTGTCAGCAAATTTCCATTCAAAGTGAATCTGTCTAGCTGACTTAAACATTTCTTAACTTAAAACAAATAGCTTGTTCTTTCTACATGTCTATGGGAACATAGGTGTGAAATAACCCCCAACCTGGTGTGCTTAGGGCTGTGGATGCTGAAACCAGCTTGAATCCTTGTGCCAAGGGATTCTGCTAATGCTTTCTCATGGTTTAGTCCTTTGCCTCAAATCCTCATGGCAGCTCTGTGACTGTGGTGTCAGCATCGCAGGGACAGAGCAACCACACACCTTCTGCTGCAATCACTAGGTTTTAGATCTGAGGAACTTCAGATGATCTTTCAGGTCTCTTCCAACCCAAACCATTCTATGATTCTTTTCTTTGGTTTTTTTTTAAGTGCAATCAAAAAGTCCTCATCCATCTGATGGTCTTTGCTTGAAGACCGCACCGTTGATCATTCTGGTCTAGTTAACTCAGCAGATCTCATGGTGCAGTGGTGAGAAAGGAATAAAAAAGAAACATGAACATAATAGCTAGCACTATACGTGCTGCATACCCAGAAACTGTAGCACTTCTTTGGGGATTTCCATGGCTTCCTGGGAACAGTAGTTCAGAGAGCTGCAGCCCGGTCCTTTCCTATTGTCCAGTTTTCTTGGATGAGCTGCATCATCCATGGTCAAGCCTCCACCCATGACTCAGTGTTAGAGTGTGGGAAAATCAGGTTCCTTTAGATGCCTCTATGATAATAAGTCGTAGTTTCTATGACTTTAATGATAAAAGTCCATGATAAAAAGGACCTTGAATTACAGGTAAAAGGGAAAAAAAGTCACCCTGAAACACTGCAAATTTCCAATGTATAATATCTAAGGTGCAATTGTCTCCTCTTCTGCTCAACCTTGTTCCAGAACAGGCCTGAAAATTTCGCCTGTTTGCAGAAACTTCCACGGTGTCCTGCTTGAACTGATTTCAGGTGGTGTGAATGAAGAAGCTGAGGGCTGTTGGAAATTCATTCATTTCCCAGGAAAGATTTCCTCATCATCTGGAATGTCTATTAAGCCAGCCTTGGGCCCGCCTTTTATTTGTCTTTCTTAAGTCATGAAAGAACTATGGCCTTAGTCAGCCCTTGGTCTCAGGGAACAAAGCATCCCTGCCCAGGCAGCTCGTGGCCCAGCGAGCTCTAAACATAATAGCACAAGGGGAGCACCACGTTTGCTGGAGGTGTGACCATAAGAAATGCTCTCCAGCCCTGCCACGGTACGTGGGCTTGAAGACATTCAAACAAGGAGAGAGAAAATTCGAACTAATCCATTTGTGAGTGGGTTCTGTGTGGTTTGTTGTTTTGTTTTTTTTTTTTTCTGGTCCTAAGATCAATGAACAGAGGAAACTTTGCAGATAGGGCTGAACGATGGAAAATCTTCCAGGGCAAGCTCTCCACATTCACCTGGGGAAACTTTGGGTTCACCTGTGAGTACTATGGAAGGAAATGTTGGTAATCAATGTATCTGGATCATCAGTTTAAAAATACCACAGGCCAGGCATCCAGAAAAGTCCCTCAAGGCCCTGATCAAAAAATCTCAGAAGATTTCAGTGCTAAGATCCTGTATAAGGCCCCTCAGGTGTCCAACCCAGTGCTGGGGAACGAGCTGAGCCCTGCAGTGAGCCCATGGTGTTGCCTGGAACAATGCTGACATCTGTGCAAAGACCAGCCCTTTGGGTACAGATTTAATTACAAGAGCTAATTAGGTATCACCCAAGGGAGGAAGAGAAGGGGGATGCTTAAGAGCATCTTAATTAGGGTGAAAAGGGAGAAGAGAGGACAAGCTTATTCTGAGGTTGTCGAATTCAGTGACAAAGATTACCTGAAGTAGCTTGAAGGAGACATTTTACAAATTCTCACACATAACAGGAAAGAACAGAATAACAAAACTTTATTAAAGAGGAAAATCCAGGAAAGTAGGCAACTTCCAAAGCCAGTTCTAAGTATAAATGCTAGGATATCTTTCCTAAGATACAACTTTTTGATTGAGCAGTCCTTTTTATGATTGATGATTCCCGTGACAGTGGACCTCTTGTGCCCTGCATGTGACCGGCATTTTTTCTGCAGCAGAAGCTCCTCAAGAAGAGCCTTTATAGATGGCCCACAGGCAGTTAACGTTCCTTCTGTACTGTGGGACAGTTCTGTCCTCATCAGGTTAGGCAATATTTTTTTCGTTAGGACTTTGTTCATGTCTCACATTTGTTGTGAGGTTCTGCTCATGAGAAAACTTGCTGACATAAAAATAGAAGGAGGCTTTGAGTGAGGGGTATTTGGGTGGATACCTTTTCAAGGTCAACCTTTGTTGCTTCTATGGAAAGAAGCAGCTGTCCATGCCAGATATCTGCTTTGCTAGAAGATTTTTCTGCCTGGCATTTTATAATTTTGCCCTCCTTGGGTTTGGATCACCCTGCGGAAGAGTTTGGCCTTATGAAATAAGACCTATGGTGCAAGAGGAGGGGAAAGGACACTGAATAAGGGGTGCAGAGTGGTGCTTTGCCATGGGTCAGCAGCTGGTCCCTGTGCCTTTGGTTTCGGGACCTCTGGCCTAAGCTACAAGGTCGGTGGCTCTGTGGAGGTTGAATATGGACCATCAGTATAGACCCTCCAGACAGTACTGGTGGCCTACCCAGCAGCTGCCTCTCTATCTATAGGATTCAATTCTATTACAGAAATCTTTCACTTCTGCATGTGACTAAAGCCGAAGCTACAAGGCATTGAAGCAGATATTCTGCAAAAGGTCTTCTCTCTGGGAAGTATCTCCTGTGAGCACTTGTGTTGTA